GTATAATTCAATTCTGATAATCAATAAAAATAACTTACCATCTATTATATTATTTATTATTTAATTATTTTTTTAAATAAAAATTTTAGTTGAGTTTCAATTATAATTAAAAGTATAATTAGATACTGATAATCAATAAAAATAACTTACTCTCTTTAGTAGTATTTTGATTTTTAATAAAAATATAAATGAATTTAAATTATAGTAAAAATATAATTAAATATAAATAATCAATAAAATAATTTACCATCTATTATTATTAGTAATTAATTATTTTTTTTAAATAAAAAATTTAATTTAAGTTTAAATTAGTATAATTAAATATTGCTAATCAATAAAAATAACTTACAATCTAAAATATTAATTATTTTTTTAAATAAAATTTAGTTGAATTTAAATTATAATAAAAGGTATAATTAAATAAAAGTAACTTACCATCTATTATTATTTAATTATTTTTTTATATAAAAATTTTAGTTAAATTTAAATTACAGTAAAAAGTATAATTAGATATTGATAATCAATAAAAGTAACTTACCATCTATTATATTAATTATTTTTTTTAAATAAAAATTTAGCTGAATTTAAATTACAGTAAAAAGTATTAAATACTAATAATTAATAAAAATAGCTTACCCCCTTTAATAATTTTTTTTGATTTTAAATAAAAAATTTAGTTAAGATTAAATTAGAAATAAAGTAATTAAAGTTATAATTAAATACTAATAATCAATAAAAGTAATTTACCATCTATTATATTATTAATTATTAATTATTTTTTAAATAAAAATTTTTAGTTGAGTTTAAATTATAGTAAAAATTATAATTAAATTCTGATAATCAATAAAAGTACTTACCATCTATTATATTATTTATTATTAATTATTTTTTAAATAAAAAATTTAGTTAAGTTTAAAAAATAGTAAAAAATATTAAATACTGAAATATCTTGCCATCTATTTTATTAATAATAATTAATTATTTTTAAATAAAAAATTTAATTAAGTTTAAATTAGTATAATTAAATATTGCTTATTAATAAAAATAACTTACAATCTATAATATTAAATATTTTTTTTAATAAAAAATTTAGCTGAATTTAAATTATAATAAAAGGTATTATTTAATACTAATTAAAGATGGTTTCCATAATTATTTTTAAAATTTTTAGCTAGTTGTAACTTAAGTTGCAACACTTTGAGTTGTAACATTTTATGAATTTTTATATTAAAATAAATTTACAAGGAATTGCAACCAAGTTGTAACTGATTAATTATGGTGTACATCTTTAATACTAATAATTAATAAAGTAATTTACCATCTATCATATTATTTTATTATTTATTATTTTTTTAAATAAAAAATTTAGTTAAGTTTAAATTACAATTAAAGGTATAATTAAATACTGATAATCAATAAAAGTAACTTACTATCTATTAATTTATTAATTGTTAATTATTTTTTTAAATAAAAAATCTAGTTGAATTTTTTACAATAAAAAGTATAATTATATACTGATAATTAATAAAAGTAACTTACCATCTATAATATTATTTATTATTAATTATTTTTTTAAATAAAAATTTTAGTTGAGTTTAAATTATAGTAAAAATTATAATTAGATACTGATAATCAATAAAAGTAACTTACCCTCTATTATATTATTTATTATTAAGTATTTTTTAAATAAATAATTTAGTTGTTTAAATAATATAATTAAATACTAATGATCAATAAAATAACTTACCATCTATTATATTATTATTATTAATTATTTTTTTAAGTAAAAAATTTAGTTTAGTTTCAATTATAGTAAAAAGTAAAATTAGTACAATTAATATTGATAATCAATAAAACTAATTTACTATCTATTATATTATTTATTGTTAATTATTTTTTTAAATAAAAATCTAATTGAATTTAAATTGCAATAAAAAGTATAATTAGATACAAATAATCAGAAAATTAACTTACCATCTATTATATTATTTAATAATTATTTTTTTTAAATAAAAATTTAATTAAGTATAATAAAAAGAATTAAATACTAATAATTAACAAAAATAGCTTACAATCTAAAATATTAATTATTATTTTAAATAAAATTTTAGTTGAATTATAATTACAGTAAAAAGTATAATTATATACTAATAATCAATAAAAATAACTTACTCCCTTTAGTAATTTTTTTGATTTTTAAATAAAAATTTAGTTGAGTTTAAATTGTGGTAAAAGTATAATTAATTAATATATATAACTTACAATCTGAAAGATTAATAGTTTTTTTTAAATAAAAAATTTAGTTGAGTTTAAATTACAGTAAAAGTAATAAAAGTATAATTAAATACTAATAATTAATAAAAACAACTTACAATCTAAAAGATTAATTTTTTTTTTAATAAAAAATTTAATTAGTTTAAATTATAAAAAAGTATAATTAAATATTGATAATTAATAAAAATACTTACTCCCTTTAGTAATATTTTATTTTTAAATAAAAAATTTGGTTGAATTTATATTACAGTAAAAAGTGTAATTAATACTAATAGTTAATAAAATAACTTACAATCTATTAAATTATTAATTATTAATTTTTTTAATTTAAGTTGAGTTTAAATTATAGTAAAAGTATAATTAAATACTGATAATCAATAAAATAACTTACACGCTTTAATAGTATTTTTGATTTAAATAAAAAATTTATTTGAGTTTATATTAATTATAGTAAAAAGTATAATTAATATTAATAATCAATAAAAATAACTTACACTCTTTATAGTATTTTTGATTTTTAAATAAAAAATTTAGTTGAGTTTAAATTATAGTAAAAAGTATATTTATATACTGATAATCAATAAAAATAACTTACTCCCTTTAGTAGTATTTTTGATTTTTAAATAAAAAATTTAGTTGAATTTAAATTGCAGTAAAAAGTATAATTACATATTAATAATCAATAAAAATAACTTACTATCTGTTATATTATTAATGATTAAATATTTTTTAAATAAAAAATTTAGTTAAGTTTAATTATAGCAAAAAATATAATTAATTAATTAAAATAATTATAATTACTTTCTGTAATATTAATAATAGTTAATATTTTTATTTAAATCGTAATATGGTCATAGTTAATTTAATTAATAAATATAACTTACGTCCTAAAATATTTTAAATAAAATTAGTAGTCTAATTTATAAAAAGTATAATTAAATATATAGTATATTTCTTAATAAAATTACTTACTGACTAAATTTCATTAAAATTTTTTAGTTAATTTAATTTTAAATTGCTAAATAAAAAATTTATAATAACTTACTCCCTATGGTATTGATATTTTTAAATTAAATGGTTTAATTACATTTAATTATATATATAAATTAAGATTTAAAAGGCTGCTTACAATCTAAGTATCAATGTCAATTAAATTTATTTTTTTTTTAAAAAAAAAAATCAAAAATCAAAATATTATTATTTGGCTTAAACAAATAAATAAAGGTTTATTACCATTTAATTCTCTTAATGTAGGTGCATCGGGAGCATCCGATACTGGCTCTATCATAATGTATTTATTTTGAGCAAATTTTTGAAATTAATACTAACGCTAAGGTAATAAAATAGCATAAGCTATTATTTAAATAATTATAAATGTTCTTTTACCATCTAATTTTGAAAGAAATTAATATAACTATAATAACGCATTATAATAATTGTTGAATAATTATAATAAATTACACTTCTTTTACCTTTATTGTAATTACCAGACATTATCGTTCGTTATTATAAAAAAAAAATTTTAAAAAAGGAAAAAAATTTTTTTTAACTCGATTCGGAATTTAATAGTGATACAATTGTCATTTTGTGACAAAAATTTCGCGATCACGTGACAAATTAATTTATCACTACTATTTATCTGAGGGACTTGGAATTATTTTAGTCGTATCGTACCATCATTATACTATTCGTCACGCACATTATATTTAAGGTTAGGGTTATGCATAATACACGTGATTGCGAAACTGTTGAGAAAAATTTTTTATTTTAAAAATTGGGTTTGAACAAAATAAAAAATTCATCGTTTCTGTTGTTGTGCATAAAGAAAGAATTGCTTAACATTATAGTGTAACTTTTTGCACTAATTGAATTTAACCAACAATTTCAATTTTTGGTTTAGACGTTTCCTGCAAATATACTTATGCATTCTAATGAAGAATCAATTTATAAAATTTTTTTTATTAACATGGTGAAAAGATAATTTTAATTTCCGAAAATATAATATTAGTTCAATAATACAAAAAATAAATATATACATTTTTTTTTCTAAGGTAAGGCGTCGTTCGGGTTAATTCGCAGCTCACGTAAGCTTTGGTTTCATTTTTTATTTGGCACCTTTTGTTTGTTACAAGTTTTTTACTTTATTTTATTTTATTTTATTTTATTTATATTTATTTCTTTATTTACCGGCTGTATAAGGGATGATAACGGTCGTCGGTCATGGTTTGACCTTTTTTACTAATTGGTTGACCGGCCATTTAATAATAATATAATTTAAAGTTCTTGATTGATAATTTTAATTTATGCTTAAAATTACTAACATGTAAAACTTACGATTTTTATATATTTTACTTATTTCTTGATATGCATAGCATATTAAGTTTACTTTCATATTTAGATATGCTAAATTTTTTTTATATAAATGATTTGCATAAAAAATTTATCAATCAATAAATAATAACTAAATGCCAATGGTTGTGTTATTTATGATGTGACTGTTTAAACTTTAATAATGTTAAATTTAATTTGCTTTATTTATAAATTTTAAATAGAAATCAAAAAATTATATAATAAAATATTAAAGTCAAAAGCTCATAAAATTTCTTAAATTGAGATTCATTTCAAATTTTCAGTGTCGCGTCAGATTATTCATTCCTATTATTCATTCATATTATAAAGTTAAGTGTTAAAAAATTTTTATTTTGAAAAATAAAATGTTTTTGATTTTACCTGATTTTAAAGCTAGCATATTCATATGCCGCATAAATATGACCTACTAATAAGGATTCCGGAAATTTTTCTAATAATTCATCAGAAATTTCTGTCGGCCACAATTTAAATCCATCTCCATTTATATACATGCTTAATGATGATAATTGATCATTGTCAAAATAATTTAAAAATCTATACATAAATCTTTTTAATGCAAGAACAAATGCTTCTGCTGGTATACGTTCTTTAGTCAACAAAGAATTTCCAAATTCAACTGCTGAATCAATTTCATCTTTTATTTCTTTTGTAAGATCAATCTTATATTTGTCATCTATATATTTTATCACGGAACTTGCTACTTGTTCTTCGATCAATTCATACAAATTTATTAAATGTTTGAGACATAATCCGATGCTTAATAAATTATTGAATGAATTGTTCTTTGTCAATACTGATAATTTCATCCATTGATTAACATAATCAAGAATTGTTGTCTCTTCTCTCCCAATTGCAGTACGTTTTACAAAACAAAGCAAAATTTCTAATGAAGAAAGGAGTTCAGAAGCGCTATCATAAGATAATGAATTATTACTATGATTTTCCCTGTAAGAAGCGCAATTCGATACGACACCCATAATTAAAGAAACCTTATCAGACGGAATTTTCTGTTGATGAATTAAAGATTTTATATCACCAAGTATGCTCATATATCCTTGAAATAATTCCATGTGAAATGAGAATGGTTCCATGTATAATTCTGAATCATTTAAGATACTTATACGAACTTTTTCATAAACGAATCTACGTGCAAGTTCCATTTCGATTCCTTTTAAATCATAAATTATATCATGACCACGTCCAACTTCAAGATTACGATCACTATTTTGGAGAATATCATCATCCCAACTGTAATTTATAAAATGGTTTTGTTTAGCTTGATCAATACTTAGGGTTTGAATGTAGTAACGAGTAGGATATGTATAATTAGCATTATTTGATGATGAAATAGAGTTTCCTTCAACATGATGAGGCACTTCCAAAAATTTAAGTGCTTTAGTAGATCCTATAGGAATTATTAATACTTCTTGTAAGAATTCATTATGTATTCCAATCAAATATTCCAAAATAGCACAAAGATAGACGCCATAATCCTTTGTCTCGACCAAGGCAAGTGCAATTTTAGATGTAAAATTTATAATTGGTTTTGGTTTTTGAAGCTCGAGACATCGATAAAAATCTACATCATCAATAACCGAATTCCATGCCTTAGCAAAATCTTTGAAATTTGAAGTTAATTTCTCTCCAATTTTCTCATCATTAGAATAATCATCTATAAATTGCTGAAATGTTTGTTCTTGTGCCCTTTCTCGACTCACGCGATGCCCAAGATGCGATGATAATATTTGAACAAAGTTAACAATCGGCCAAAGGTATTTTACCTTTTCTAATTTATTAAAATACTTAAAGAATATTGAAATAAACGGAAAACTTGATTCATTTTTCTCTATATCCGAATTGTAAAAAGCATAAAAATCTTGAAAACTCGCTATTCCTATAAATCTCCAAAGCCTTGGTAACCGTTCACCTATGTATTTCTCATCCATTGGTGTTGTTTGATTAAGTTCCTCTTCGATTTTACTCGTATTTGCAAGTTTTACTCTAAATTCAGTGATAGTATTTCTAATATTTTTAATTAAAGGCACAACATAGTCCTGCGAGAAATTTGTTTCCCATTCTTCACGCTCCTGAGGTTCTTTCAAGGTTGTATGATGATTGGGTGGAATTAGAAACATCCTATCAAGGATTGCATGTAATAAAAGTGCTAAATCTTCTTCGGAGCAATTCAAACGATTTAAAAGAATACTCCAATCATTCCTAATATGTTCCATACAATATTCCACACTACCATTTGAGATATTTTGCGAAAATTTAGTTACAATATCAGATGGCGCCCAAGCTCCAATTATTGAATGTACAAATAAATGAAGAATTCTATATGAAGTAGGAGATAAATTGCGAACATTGTGATGTATGTCTCTGTTTATTTCTTCCCTAATATACCCTTTTTCATCTTTTACTTTCCTATCTGTCTTAATTGGTTTTGAATCTAACCTTACATTTCCTGCTTCGGGTTGACCGTTACCAATAGTATTTTTGCATTCAGGACATTTACTTTGCTCATTAACCCCTCCACAATCACCGATAAGATAAGGATATCCACATTTACATCGATATCTATATAAGGATAATATAATGTCGATGAGCACTTTTTTTTTTTACAAAATCTTTAAAAACTTCTTACCTCGTATATTTCTTTTCTTGCTGTAAGTTAGCATTTAACAGAACAGATTCTACATCTGATAGACAAGTGAGAATATAAAGATCACTACAATAATCTAAATTATGTTGCATATACGCCAATGGTGACACCTCCGCTGGGATAGACGAATGCAATGCTACAACATGCCCAATGACCGACTTAATTAATATATCCGAGTTGCTAGCATTCGTATCAATTTGCAATATAGACATTTTGTTTGTGATTACATTTTGAATAATAATCTTATAGACTTTGGAGAAATAACTTGCTTTCTTGATGCGTTTTTTCAAATGAGTTGCTGCACTTTCCTCGTTAAGATTCCACTCTCTTGTTGCTCTTATAATATGAAGTTGATTAAAAATACCTCCCATAAGTGAAATTCTAGCGCTAGTCTCTTCTTTCCTTGAAATTTTATTAAAGATTTCATTGAATAGTTCCAAACTATTTCTATAATAAAAAAATCTTGCAAAATTTCTTTCCACAATGCTATAATCTTCAATAGAATTATAAACATCAAATTGCAAGCGAGTTTCTTGATTATTGTCCCAAGGTAAATTTTCCAGCCATGGAAATATATGTTTTTGAGCTTGACAAAATTTATGAACGTCGCTCATCGAACCTCTATTGCGTAGGTCTCGCAGAAAATAAAATTTTAGTGAATCAACTAATCTAAAATCTGAATTTAAATCACAATTAATTTTATTAATTAACTCTATAATCCTTTCATCAACACCATTGAAATCCAATTCAACCGGTTTTAAAATATTATCTTGAATCAGAAATTTCCAAAACTCGTGAACAAATTCTTTGAGGAACGCAATCGCTGTTATCAAATGTAATCCTGCAACATTATCAGCACATAAAGCTTCAATTGCGCAATGGTAATAAGTCGATAATTCAATCAGATTATACCGTGTAAAATATGCTTTTTGTATAATGTCACAGAATAATGCTGCTATTGTAGATTGACAACCATTTTTTTCAAGGCAAGTATTCATAATTTTAAATAACGGCAAATTCATCATTTTTCTAGGATGATCTAACCACATAAAAGACTCGAAAGAGTTATTTTTATTTTCTTTCTCCAATATACTTTTAATGGTTTGTCCCCTAAGATGGAAAGGATCTTCCAAGAATAAAGTGTGATAGAGTTCCAACTTTAAAGGTGAATCGTATGGAAAAATTTCGCAACACTTTATTATAAATGATTGTTTGGCAATTAATGTATTATCTGGTTCGATCTTACTAAGGATTTCAAAGATTCTGTTAATATGCATTTTTGTAAACATATCTTCTTCATCTCTAATCTCGATAATCTCTTTAATAATCTCCAACGGAATTGATTCAGTTGATAATAGCTCATGACAAAAAGTTAGCATTTGAAAAGATTTTGTTCTTTTAAAGCTAGTGAGGTTTTCACAAAAATTCAAGATATTTCTGAATTGGAGTTGCAATTCAACAATTTCTTGACAAATGCTAAGACTATTAAGCATTAATTTCGTGACCTCATTCACAATACGTTGTTCTAAATTTTTTGCATTAAATAATTCTTCATTAAAAATCGAAGGACACTCGCTAATTAGTCGAAATGCTGCTAAAGTTGAACTAGCATTATTCCACCAAAATATATGTAAATTGATAGGATTTTTGATCATCTCTTTACAAAGCTTACATTGGATAAGACGTGATAATACAAATGTATTTTTGGCTTTTTGTTCATTGCTACAAACTACATTAACAAAATCATTGAAATATAAATCTGAAGCATCTAATAATGGAGAATTGTTCAAGAGAATTATCGTCCTTAAGATTTTTTTGGAAAACTCTTGATTATAAGTTTCACGACTCAAGTTTTTTGTATCTCTAATCATTATTGTCATTTCCTCGTCATAAAGAGGTCTGAAACTATCAATCCTTTTCATAACGTATATTGAAAATGGAAATTGTAAATCAAAAACATTAATTGGCATTATATATATATCTGGCTTTGGTTCAGGCAATGAGTCGAAATTGATAACATTATTATTCATAAACATATCCTTCCAGAATTTAAGAAGTTGTTCACTAGTTTTATTTTTTGGTGACGCTTGCAAATCATGAATCATGAAAGTCTTTGTAACTCCTAAACGTTCTAGGGAATATAAAACTTTCGCAATAGGATGACGAACTACAGTACGGATATATGCTTGCAATGCCACAGCAAATGAAGAATGTGGATAGAATAATAGTTTGGTAGACGCGACATGATACGTCCATTCTGTTTTGGTGTTCGATTTTAACCACTCAAGTGTCCTTATTTTTAAACAATTTACAAAATTTGGATGGTCTAAAATACGTTTGCTCAAATAACTAGAATAAAAAATCATTTAAACAGAGAATATAATTAACAATTTTAAAAAAAAAATGGTACTTACTTGACATGATTAATTGAATCAATATTGTCTGGAAATTTTATACATAGTAAACACCATAATAATTCTTGCTTTAATATATCTTCAAATGGATAAATCGTCTGAATTATATCACATAAATTGTACTTCAATAAATCAGATGTTGGAATTTTTTGTTTAGTTAATGATTCGATTGTAATTTGATTCCATCCGCTCATAAAGTTGAACGAGATTATATTTGCATCATTTTTATTATACTCTCGTTGATTTTCTCGATGAGTATGAAGAATAATGCAAGCATGCTTAATTTTCATATCATTATTCTCTCGTCTTTTTTGTAAATACTTGCTCCGGCATCGTTCAATATTAAATTTGGCTAATTTAATACAATCCGCATTCATAATAGAGATATCACATTGCAATATTAAGAATTCATGATCTAACTCGAACCAAAATCTGTTCACTTGATTTAGAAATTGAGATTCGGTTTTGAATGTTGAAAGTTTCAAAATATAACATTTAGTTATTCCATCTAAACAGGAAATAATACCTGTGTTGATGTTGGAAAATGTGTTAATAATGACCAAATGACCATCTTGCACAGTTTGTTCTTGCAATAAATCTTGAAAATAATCTGCTAAATCATCATGATGTTGGGTTTGAAAATAAATATTTTTCAAATGTTGAATTTCTTCAAAATGCAAAGTTGATTTTTTGACTCGGATCATACCATCCGATGTAGCAGTCGCAACCAAATTTTCCTTGCACTTTTCAAGTAATTCACCATCTTTCATTCCGGGATCTTTTATCTTGATATCAATTATTAAGCTTTCCAATGTTTCTTCTTTATTATAGCCAATAAATACTTCCTCTGTAGTGAAATCAAGATTTTTTTCTTCAGTTCCTACTATAATTGTCATTTGACGTGTCCATTCTCTCAGCTTATTGACTAATTCTTTTTCGTCTTTATTAAGGATATCTTTTATCGTCATTTGTTGCTTTTCAAATCTATTTAATAGGGGAGGATCTGCATTATTTAACTTCTCATTGTCAAGTACTAGGATACATCTGAAATCAGGATGAATATGCCTAAGAAAGAAAATGAATAATATGAATTTTAAAATAAAGTTCTATGCTTATAAATATATATTTTTATAACTTACAACATAGGGTTTGCATAAGCCCCTAAAGCAACTCGAGTATAATATTTAGGATTATCAGAGCTGCCTGTTGTAATATAATTTTGATTCCATAAGTCATAAAGAGCACCTATAAAATAAGAAGGATTTGAATAAATACTTTACTTATATCGATAAATACTATAATATATTAATGTTATACCGTAAATACTCTCCAAATCAGTTAAAATCAAAGGTTGACCAGCTTCAACGCACATCTACATACATTGATATTGAAGTAATTAATATTTAAGAAGTAAGATTTAATGAGATGAGAAATGGATGAGCGCCGAACAAGTTTTAAGATGAAAAATACTTCTTTTGGAATAAGGATGAACTCACCATTATCTTACTCAATATACTATACGAATAATCATCACGATCCTCTGGAAATTGTGATCCAAATATCACAACTGGGTCCAAATTCTTTTTATGCAACAGATACGTTAAAATATTTACAATAGAATCACTTTTTCCTATAACCATTAAATGCCTAGAACCTTTACTTTCAAGATTCTCATTAATCAGAGTATTAATTGGTATTGGATCATAAGTCCAACTTTTGTGATCATTGAGGTTTGTGATAACATGTTTGAAACAATCTAAACATTTTTTTGTGAGTTGTTCGTTGCCACCAAAATTTCTAGCTATCGCTAAATAAATTTCTTTAGGAGTTAGCATCTTATTTGAAAGACTTTTTATGAGAGCATAGTAATCACGAAGTCCATGAAAATTTGGAAATTCTTTTTGTCCAACTGCTTCATATTCGAAATATGCTTTTGCAAGAGGTCTAAGAGCAGCTTCGTTAGAAGAATCTAACAAACTAACAGCTGTTTCAACAAGATTATTCAATTCAAAATTTGGTCTTTGAACTAATAAAGCTCTACTATTTTTACTATTATCCAGTCTCCAGTTTGAAATTCCTATTACTGAAACGGTAGGACCATCATCTGGATAACTTGGTTCTAACAAAGAGTGAAGAACTTTTAAAGGGTTATGGGGACTTATTTCAGCTAGTCCAACTAATAATTAAGAAATGATATATTAAAACTTTATAGAAAATAAAAATTTAGATACTGCATATACAATATTTACTTACTTTCATCAAGCAAAACGACGCTAATTACAAGAAAATCTTTAGAACATGTCTTTTGATAGGCATTGGCTTTTTGAAAAACGATTTCAATTCCATCGGACGTAGATGATGATGAGCCTTGATGGGGAATTAAAAACACGAGAGGAAGAGTTCTAAAGTATGTGTCATTTGAATCGTGTCCTCTAAGATTTTGATATACGAGTCTGATTGCTAATGACTTTGAAGATCCTGGAGAACCAACGATGAATAGTGGTATTTTACAACAAATACAAACAATAACAGCTAATACGTTCTCCAACAATGCTTCGTTGAATGCGATATTAGGTGGACAAATCATTCTTTTCATTAAGTCCATTTGCTCGTCCCTAATTATTTTTTTAAATTGAGAATCGTCGATATTTTTGAAAATTTCACACATCTTATTGCGATATTTGATTCTTAATTCATGATCACATAAACGAGACTGATAACATAAACCTAGCGCTAAAATATAAGATCGAGTTAAAATATCAAAAGAATTATCAGGGTAAACATTATTCTCATTTTGTCGTATTGAAAGACTTCCATTGAAAAAGTTAACCAATTTAATGGCTCTTTTAACGTCGCGTAAACTAACACTATAAGGTTCTTCAACATTGCGAATAAATTCTTGTGATGAAAATAATAATTCAGCAAATATAGAACTTAATTTAGCCTCATGTATCATTAATTGTATATAAGTCATTTCATCTTGAGGTCGAATCGTACCATAATCCCATACGTAATCTAAAATCTGATCCGGAAGTGGTTTAACCTCATAAACAAGGCCTTTATTTTGTTGTTCAAATCCGATCTTTTTTGATTTCAATCCAACACTACTAACACTTTTGTTCCGAATACGATATGGATTACAGGCAGCAAATAGTCGAATATTATGATGAATTGTCTTACCATCTAGCTTACGATGAGCAATTAGCTCTGCTAACAATCCTATGTGATTGCAAGTATTGATTTCATCAAAGAACAACCATATCTCACTAATTAAAGCTTTTTTATGAGATTCATTCATGAAATCCTTGATATCTTTTTCTTTGATACCAGCATGAAGGTTAAGTGCATAAAATTCTACTTCTACTACCTTAGCCAAGAAACTAATTAAGCTTGTCTGCAAATATTTAAATATGGAATTAAATTAATGTTTAGAAATTAATAACAATTAATTATATTCAGTATATACGATACCTTTCCACATCCCGCATCTCCACATATAACTACAGGAATATTAGCTCTCGTTCTCAATAACATTAATGCCATTTTCAATAAATTATCCGTCGATAAAGCATATTGTGTATAATTAATTTTATGCATAGTTTTCCTAGCCAAGCATTCTAATGTAATTAATAATTGGTCTGAAGACATTGTTTGATAATCTGCTAATTCAAAACTTTGGCTTTTTAGCAGATTCGTAACATTATTTGGGACAATGTTTTTGTTACGATATAAAGCACATATCGATTCTGGAGATTGTGACATAAAAAATACTAAAAGATGATTAGAATCATCCCATTGTACAAGATTTCCTAATTGATCTACTTCAGCAGCTCTATCTGAAATACTTTGTAATTGCGCGGATTTTGTTTTGATTGATTTTGTAGCAAAATCAATTGAAACATCAAGTAATATATTAAATAACGTTGATCGAATATTAACATCTTTAGTCATAAATTTCAAATTTTCAACTGTAAAGAAAGGACTTTCCGATAATCTGAATAATTGATCTGCAAGTAAATTTACAAATATTTCTAAAAAACGAAAAGACAAGATACTAGAATCAATCTTTTTAAAGAAATATCTGTCCAAAAGTTGCTGGCAATATTTTTGATCAAGTAGCACATTGAAGTCAACAATATCTTGTTTATCGAGCATATTCCTATCGTAAAGATCTAAATAACGACAAACAACTTGAATTGGGCTTTGTACATCCTTGGTTACCATTAGTCTATTAATATTCCATATTAAATGTAAGTTATTTAAACAATCAAGAAATGGAAGGGACTCGATTAAGCAGTTTCCTGCTACCTCAATATATATATAGCTATCTGGAAGACTGATAATATCAGCGTTGTTTGAAATAATTCTCAGTGTTAATAATTGAAACAAGAATAGATTAATTTCTCCAGGATTATCAGCAGATATAATGTTGATGTGAAGACTATCATCTTTCTGAATATGAGATTTTTTAAGTTGTCTAATAAGTGAATTAAAGCTTGCGCCATCACTAATAAGAAAAGTAACCATATTTTTCTTATTTTTAGAGATCTCCTGCTTAATAAATTGTGTTTTTCCTTGTCCGGATAATTCTGAAGTTACACACGTAACCTTCGGACATAATTTGCGATAAATGGATCTCATTGCAATAGTGTCAAGTCCATCAGCAGTGTGAATATTTTCAGAAAACTGGTCCACAATATGATTATGCATACCAATTACAGAACAACATATCAATGCTAAATAAAAATCTACTTTTTCCGTAAAAGATTTAATCCTATTTACGAGATAATATTGCAATTCAAAATCTAATATTTCTAAATTCGCAATGCAGAATAAATGACCTTTATAACCATTTTTTGACGCTAAATAGCATCGTTTGATAAAAATTGAAAGTTCTTCTTCAGTAGTAGATGTTGTACATATCAAAAGTTGCCAGGGTTCAGGATAGTATCCATGGTTGGCATAAAATGACATTATGATGTTTGGAACTTTTGATTTATCATCACAAGTGGCGACAAACAATTCTCCACATTTGATCTTAACGGAAATTTTGAGTAATCGTGCATGCTTTTGAAGGGTTCCAAATATGTCTTCTAATCTGCCATTAATTTCTCTTAAAACTAGATCATATTCACTTTTATTACAGTTGAATCCTATATCATTTTGTCGTGGTAATTTAGCTTTTCGATTGACGAATGACACAAGTATTTGACAAGTTTCTGTTATTTCCAAGCACTCTCTACTTTTCGTATAATAGTCATATAATGCTAATATGTGTCTTGCAGGATAAAAGGTTAGATAGTAACAATCTCCTTGAGCTCGGTTAACTGTATCTTTCCTATAAATGTAAATTTTATTAACAATGAACTGAATCTTAAGAAAAATATAAACATAAATATTTACCAGATCTCCAAGTCATTTCTCAACAGAATTGCTATTTTCTTTAAATTATTAGTACCTCTGACTGATTCATTATATTTTCGATATCCGAAATGTCCTAATTGTGTTAATTTTTTCATTGTTATAATAATACTTTGAGCAATGTCAACTTGTATTACAAATTCTTCCATTCTGGCTTTAATTTCAGCGAAATCATCATCGATTTGCCCAATAGAAGCACAAGGCTTTGAACTTAAAAGAGCTCTACTGCGTAAATCCTGTAACTCATTAATATTTAATTTTATGGTTTCTTCTAATTTGGAGGGATATGATAATTCCAAAATGCAATCTTCATCCATTTCCTTTTTAGTGAATCCGTATGTACCAACCTTTACAGCATTTTGAATCTTTTCCTTTGATACTTCACCTTTGTTGTAGGTGGATTTATACATATTAATTAAGGCCCTAACATTACTATTACATAATGCCAATTTACTTGCTAATGATGGATTAATATTACTTAATTTTTTTATTAATGCATCCAATGTAAAACTTGGATCATTCATAAATGGATTCATGAATTGCTTGACTTGAATAAGTGAAGAAATCGTGCCTTCTTGAATCAATCTTGTATCTGAATGCTCATCGACACCATTAATAAGATTCTTCAAATCATCATCTGATTTGCATTTTAGGAATGCAATAAATTCTTGAGATCGTGTCAATTCTTTGGTAAAACCCCAACTATTATCATTGAATTTGGAAAATTTTTGATTTATAATTTCAATTGAATTACTTAACGTGCCCAAACGTTCATGATTAAACAAGTCATCAAGCCAGTTTGCTTTGACTCTGATAATTTTTGTAACTTTTAATAAATTTTCTGTTCGTTCTTTCCAATCTTTATATCTAGATAGATATTTTAACGTCATCATGAATGCATCACCTTTACTTATTTGAATATTGCTATGCTTTTCTAGTAACTTTAGTTCCACATCAAAATTAGAAACTTTATACCAAAATGATATTTCCTTGGAGTATTCAAGATCTTCCCACCTTTCATATTGTTTACACCTAGAAACATATTCTTTTAAAACATCTTTCATTAACTTTCGTGCTATAAATTTAACGTCCAAAACTTTGCTTACATCATCAGAACTTTCTTTTGATACATCATTTAAATGTTTATCAAAAACATTATAAAATACTTGAGATTTGTTTAATTCAGATGTACTCTCTGCTATTGATATAATTTCATTATGGAATTCCCAATGAGTTTTTGATAAGGATTCTTTTATGGAGATTTCATTCAATTTTTTACTACGCTCAATTAATTCATCAAGATAATTTTGCACATCCTTGGTTTTTTGTATTGGACAAAATCTTTTATAAAAATCGTCAAGGAATTTCAATCTATGCTCATAGATTTGGCATTTATGACGAACTATAGCCAACGTATCCATAGTAATTATTTCTCTGTTATTATGAGCAGAATTTAAATAAGCATAAAGGAAATAATCATTAAAATTAAGCAAATCCTGGAGTTGTTGAATATTAATAGAACGATTTTTTATTACACACGCCAATCTGAAAATAGATGTTCTAGTTTCTTGTACAAGTTTATGAGAATGAAACATATTGGTACTGCCAGTTGCTCGCAGAATCACAATCCAGAATATAGCGCAATCATTTAAAGATTCTTTTGAATAAGGTTTTGAAGAGGACTGTTGCAAACGTGACAAAATATAAAGCAAAGTTATTTCACAAAATCTACATAAAAATAAAGTTTAAAATGATTAAATTTAATTAATATAATAAAAAAATATATATATGTTCACTTACTCATTTGGAATATTTAAAATTTTGCCAGTACAACCACAAATCACTAGCATTTTTTTTAATAAAAGTTCACCGCATCCTAGCTCCATTGAATCAATCTTTTCGATAATAACTTTTGTTAATACTTGTACCGCTTCTGAACAAAATTTTAGTACAATAGATACCGTATTAAAAATTGATTGTTCTGAGGAAGGTCTAATGCGATTGAACGTTATCTCCATCAATGCATCCGAGATGCGTGGTTCATTAATTAATGAACAGATACTTGACAATTTCTCGAAAACTACAGTTACGTATTCTCCCTTATGAGCCGTTGAATCCATTCGATTCATGAGGTTTTTATACCACTGTATACATATTTGAGAGATTATATCATCAAAATCATTAGGCATTTTAATCCAATATTTAAGAAATGATGGAAACACGTTTAATAGTTGATAATCTTCAAAAGTCGACACAGTTTCCAATACATTAATATAATCAACTTTTGTCCAGCCTAGATGCACAGAAATTAAAAGTGTGAAAATGGATTTGAATTCGGAATTATCCAAAATTGCACTACGATGACCATTTAATAAATTAAGCACTCTCTCCCTAAATTGGTAGGCGACTTTATCTCTGATGTCATCCGAAAGCATGGTAAGATTTTCATACAAATCAACAAGGTTTGCTTTAGATATAATTTTTTTAGTATTTTCTACAAAAAGTTGTCGAAGCAGCTCGTCACTTTTATTTGAAGATTGCCAAACGATTAATACCATTTTCATGTTTTTACATTGACGCAGCAACCACTACATCGCATCGTTAATTATTTGTAAAAAGGGAATTAATTTATATGAATGACTTAATGAATACGATCAGACAAATAATAAAAAAATACCTTGATAATTTTCATGTGGGCGCTTTCATCAAATTCTAGTTCAAGTATTATTTTAAAACAATTTTCGATATATGAGTCATCATTACAATTAGCAAAAGATACTGAGTCGAACTCAAAATCTACGTATCGTGCGTATCGTGTAATGGTAAAGATCTTTAGCCATTCGTATAATCCATTATTAATATTGTGATGAATTAAAAGATCAATTCCTTTAAATACAATTTTCCAACTATCAAATGGAAATGTGTCTGAATGAACTGTGAAGAAAGCTTGAAGCAAAGGGACAGTTTGAAAATCTCTTTGTAATTCTAATCTGTAATCACAATGTCCTAAAAGAAAACATAAAAAAAGACGTTTGCCAATACCAATGGAATTATCCAATAATTGTTTGCTAATAAATTGAATATTCGTAATGGAAAAAGTTAATTCGGAATACTTGTTTAAGATACCGTTATACTCTATAATCATTTCCTTGATATTTTCTAAAGTTACGGATTCAAAAATGATATCTAAGAACATATAATCAGTGATTTTATTGATACCATGAGTTGAATTATTTCTCCAAATATCGAAATTTTGATTTTTAATTTTTAGCTCACGATTATCATTCGAACTAGTCCCTTCATATTGGAATGATTTCAAGAGTGTATTTATTGCATACTTATATTTAATAACATTCTCAAATCTTTTGATTGGGATATTAATAGGCTCTGAATACCAATAAGAAGATCTACCTTTATTATATGGTTTGAGTTTAACGTTAGATTTTTGCCAATTACCAAGTTCTTCTATACTGCCAAGTATAGCAGGTTCACCGCCGAAAGAAAACTTAGGTAAATGCACATGAAATATGATTTCTACGGTTTCACCATTATCATCCGGAAAACCTTTAGGTTCAATAATAATTTTTATGGTGTTGATAGAAGAACCTATGAATGATGAATTTTTCATTTCTTTGTCATTATTTTGTTGATATTTTGTATCTTGTTCAGAATTATTTGTCGCTTTAATAAATTTTTGTTCTATTCCATTCAAAAAATTTTTCACTATAGATTTATTATCATCTAATTTGTTTTGAAGTGAATCGGTTTTCGCTTGTTCTTGCGTAGTATTTTTGCTTTTACCCATAAATAGCACATTTGGTTCATTTGGTTCTTTAAGGTGGTTTTTCTTTTTCTTTTTTTTTCTTTTTTTTTTTTTTTTTTTAATTTCAGTACGTAGTGATGGTAGAATGATTGGTTTCGCTGGTTCTTTAAGGTTGTTAGTTGATTTGTTAAAATCATTATCAACTAATGTATAAGAGTCTAAGATAATTTTATTATCTCCATTGCGTTTATTCTGAAATGGGATGTTTGGTTCCTTAGGAACGTTAGCCAATTCATAAAGCTGGATATGATCCATAGATGGTGAGGATACGGCAGCATTAAAGTCAACAAAATTCCCTTTTTTAAGTTTTGAATCAGGTAATCCTCCTTCGTTTTTATCCATCTTTCATAAATGAATAAACTTACGGAAAGGCTCTTTGATGGATCTATTTAAATTTAATTATTGGGCGTTTTATGTTAATTTAACGCCACCTTTATGCGAGCAAACAATTTCGTCACCTTACTGTTAAGATAAATTTTTTTCAACGACCGAGTTTGAAACCGGTTAAGACTGATAACAATACAAGATTATGACGAGAATAAATTAAAATTTTCATTAGTTTTGGCCAATTTTTGTAGTGCCGATCAGTCAGAGTTTAAATTTTAACCGATTAATCGGTTCATGACTTTAAATCACTATGGTAAGAATTACATCATTATTATTCAAACTTCCGTAACTCGTAATAGTAATTTTTGTTAAACTTTATTTGGTGTGTTAATTAAGTCGTCGAAAAAAATTATTTTATACTCAATACAAGCAAGTAATAGTTAGACTATATATAAAAAAAAAATTTTTTTAAAAATTTTTTTTTATAAGGTATTATTCATTTTTTTTTATGGTAATATTCGTAATATAATTAATTAAAACTTCCAACGAAATGTAATTGTATGTATTTTTCAATGTAATAAGCGAATTAATTCGTAAGATTATAACCTTAAATAAAAAGGAATATTAGTTATGATATCCAAATTCTTGAAGAAAAATTCTTAGAGTTTTCTATCATCAAGAGTTAGGCCGAATTATAAACAATTTTTTTATTCATGTTCTAATAAAGGACAACGGCACCCCTGATCGAAATGGTAACATAAATCTGTATCTAGTGAGTATGCTTTGATATGGAATGCGTTTTTTTTGCAGATATGCATAAGAAAGGTTCAAGATAAAGCCGATGTAAAAGGTTGCAAATTTTTTGTTTTTATTTCAACAACATCTTCATGTGTTGAGATCGATAAAGTGATTTGGATTAATAATTTGATTTTTTCAATTGAATCCAAAAAATTTGAGCATGTCATTAGTATGGAATAGACGACGTTACTTACGCATCTGGGTATATGTTACAGAATTAAAATTTTATTATCCATTTAATCAATTTATATAAAATTCCTAATTTAAGCTTTTGCTGTCAACTTCATGCATGTAAAAGTGTAAATATTAGTCATTGAAGGTGAATAACTAATTTTTCATTTTATTAATTCCGATTAACTGCGAAAATGCTACCGCATTTCTTTTGTTAAGAAAATAAAATTTCATAATAAGAATGGAATTTGTTATAAAAATTATTTATTAAAATAATCAATTGCAAATAAAGTTTTCTTGACCTATAATAAATTTATAATGTATAACTTAATATCTACATCGCGCACGCAAGTGTTTTTACAATTATTTATGCTAAAACCATAAATCGATTATATCACAATAAAAAATAGTGCACCGTTATTAATGCTTTTGCATATTACAGTACAAGAAATATATATTTACAACAAACAAATACGTAAATTTGCTAACTAGTACTTGAGAATTATTTATCTAACTATAATTATTGATTTTAGACTAGAGGTTGGAACCGGCCCAAAAATCCTTAACCGGTTAATAAAAGTTTAAAAAATTCTTTAACCGGTTAACTATCTGATTAAATTTAACTCAGGCCGGCACTATAAATTAGCGAAATTTTGTAATTACAAAAAAATTTTAATTATGCCCGAAAATCAAATTTCGGCCAGAGTTATCATTAGTTATTTTAATCGGTTAAAAAAATCTTTAACCGGTTAACAATATAAACGTTTTAACCGGTTAATTAACCGGTTAAAAATTAACCGGTTCCAACCTCTATTTTAGACGTATAGTGGACCCGCCGCATATAAAAGTATCAGTCCCGATTTTGTGTAGTTATGACTCTTATGATGCTTCTTTTTTTTAGCATAAAAGAGAAATGATATGAATAAGACAATAAGCTTGAAATTATGGTATAACGGGATAATAAAGACTTTTGTTTGCATAATCCCAATTACTTACATAATTTTTCGTTCAGCTCTTCTACCAACTCCATTATTGATTCAGCTGGACTTGGCTTTAACTCACAGAGACCTGGCATACAGTTAATTTTTCTTCTGTAAGTCGTAGAAATGCTCGACCTCGTCCCTTATTGTTTTTATATCAGTTTCTTTATAATCTAGGTCTTTAATTTTAGAAATGAGAAATTTTTTTGCATCTTCCGGAGTCCATTTCTTAACGTCATCCGGAAGGTTGTCCTCTGATAACAAAATAAGGATAATGATAAGTATATGTTAAATCCTCGTACTATCCCAAAATGAATATCTTCTTACCACAAACTATATTCGTTTCATCAGAAATATTTACAGCCTCACCATCATTATTTCGAAGATGTTTTCAGTTATTACTAATTTGGATCGCGTTATTTCCTGTTGCAATCATTTGATGCTTTACCTGATTGAAAGAAAGTATTACTGGATATATTACAGGATTTAGATTAAAGCTCACCCGTAAACTATCAATCATAAACTGTGAAAAATCTCATCTTTCTCCTTTCTGATATAGTCTTCAAACACTTAGAAAAACAAATATAAAATTAATATTTGTTGCGTTGAACAAAGGGTTCGTCACTGGGACCAAGAGTCCACAGCTTGCGCTCAAGCGTCGAACTAAGTGTTCATAACTATGGACTTGCGTCACTGGAACCAAGAGTTCTCAGCTTTCCTTAAACACGTTAAATTTAAATCTTACCAATATACTTACTTTCCAATGTTATACAATTTCATGGGCCCTTTTTTCCGTTCTTCATCAAATCCAGATTTTGAATTTGCCACAATTACAAGATCTTTTTTAATATTATAGATTAGGATGTGTTGACTTCTTATTTAGGTACTTATACCACGTGATATGTGCAAAATTAAACTACCCCAAAAAATTCTGACAAAATCTGTGATCATTTCCCAAAATGGTTAAGAAACCAAAGAGGGTTTTAAATGCCAGTTTTAGGAAAACCAAACATTACATTTTGAAAAGTATATATAAAAAGTCAAAAAAAAAAATAAGCAAGCTTATAGAGTATGTAAAATTACGAATAATGTATCATTTCTATTTTAAGGAACGATTGGCAAATTAGCACAACTGCAGAATATTTTGCGATAGTTTCAGAATACTTCATTATAATAGTTGCTTATGTAGAATATGTAATTTACACATAAAAAAATATAAAAAATAAACCAGATTTTTATTGCTGAGAATCCTAATACTAAGTAAGTAACCTTATAAACAAATCTGTGAGCTAGAAAATTCATAGCTTTCTCAAAATAAATAAGAATTGATAAATTAAGTATATCAAAACCTATAATGTGAATTTTATTGCAAAATTATCTAATTGTCAAATCCAGATTATTATTGATTATTTCTCTAAGAATTCTGATGCTAAATTAGAATAGCTTTATTATTAATTATTCAGATGAACTATTGAATGTGTATATACTGAATTCAATTCCTCTAGCTTAGAAACTAGTCATAATATTGCATCAAATAAATTTCTTAGTTTCAGTTGAAAACGATTTTGAAAAAAATTATAAAAGCTTTTGAAGTAGTAGAAAAAGTGAAACAGAACAAAAAAGATCAAATGTAATAACTACAACTAAGGTAAATGATTATAAGTTTGTATACTTTGATGAGAAATTTGATTTAACAATCAAAAGAAAATGATAGTGACTGTAATTATAACAATAATTCTAAAAAAAGTATCAAATGAATCTGATAATAATGGATATAATAGATTCAATAGATATAATGAATATGATAGATGTGATAAAAGGTATTATTATCATGATAAAAGATTTAAAAAAAATCTTACCAATGATGAATCTTATTATTCTCTCGTAATCACTAAGAAATTACTGCTTTACCCAGATATTACTATTTTAGTTTTCTTATTATAGCTACTTTATCATATATACATTATCCCTTAGATTGTCTAGCAGGCAAATTTGCCTGCGAAATTAAAAATAATTGTTAATTTCTTTATAAAATATTAAA